TGCACAAGCTTGGGAGAACCAGTCGCGTGCAACGACTCTGGAAGGGTTACACAGGAAGCTTGGAGCCGTGTCGAATAGCTTAAGGGGCTGGAATAACCAGTCTTTTGGCAGTGTGATGCGGGAGCTCAAGAAATTGAACTTAAGGCTTGAGGACCTCCGCTCCAAGCCCATGCAAACAGGTCCATCCCATGAGGAGATCAAGACAGTGGATAGGATTGTGAAGCTAAATTATAGAGAGGAGATTATGTGGAAACAACACTCACGGATCACCTGGCTCACTAAAGGAGATAGGAACACATAGTTCTTTCACTTGAGAGCCAACCAAAGGAAGAAGCGAAACAAAATTAGTAAGCTAAAAAAGGAGGATGGAAGCTTCACTATGGTTGAGGGAGATGGCTACCCTCACGATGGCGTTCTATAGGAACCTGTACACGTCCGAGGGGACAAGAGATATGGATCAGCTGCTGAACACGGTGTGAAAGTGACCATAGATAAGAATGGCGCGCTTCTAAAACCTTTTAGCACTGATGAAATTAAGTCTGCATTGTTTCAGATGTTCCCGACCAAGGCGCTAGGTCCGGATGGCTTCCTGGCACATTTTTTCCAACGACATTGGAATATTTGTGGGGAGGAGGTGTCCTTGGTGGTGCAGCGGATTTAAATGGGCAGGATGATCCAACCATGATCAATGAGCATTTTCCTTATTCCAAAGGTAGACAAACCAGAGGAACTCGGACAATTTCGGCCAATCAACTTATGTAATGTGGTCTATAAAATTGCATCCAAGGCAGTGACCAACAAATTGCGGAGCTTTTTGCCTGAGGTTGTTTCTAAGAAACAGTCAGCCTTCGTTCTAGGCTGATTGATTACAGAGAATATTATTACAGCTTATGAGTGCCTGCGCTTTATGAAGAAGAAGAGGACACGAGAGAATAGATTTTGTGCTCTGAAGCTAGATATGAAGCAGGCATATGACAGAACGGAGTGGGACTACCTGCAGAAAATTATGCCCAAGTTGGATTTTCACATGCTATGGGTAGAGATGATTATGAGGATGATTAACTCAGTGTCGTTCTCAGTGATGCTCAATGGCCAAAATCTGGATAGCTTTAAGCCTTCGAGAGGCATCCATCAAGGGGATCCAATTTCCCCCTATCTTTTCTTGTTGGCAGCAGAGGGCCTTTTGTGCCTCTTAAATTCAAGAATTCGGTCATAAGATCTCATGGGTATAAGGGTGGCTCCATTGGCTCCGATGGTGAGTCATCTACTCTTTGCGAATGACAGTCTACTGCTTTTCAGGGAAACAGGGAGAATACGGAGGTTATGAGGGATGTTATGAATTTGTATTGCAATGCGACCGGCCAGCAGATAAATTTGCAGAAGTCATCGATCCATTGTGCCAAGGGGTGCATTGCTAGTGTGAGTGGTGAGATCAAGGAAATTTAAGAGGTCCGCAATGAGACCTTGAGTGAGAAGTACCTGGGTATGCCAAAAGGTGTGGGCACATCGGTTAATGGTGCCTTCCGCTATCTCAATAAGGATCGAGTGTGGAAGAAGGTTCAGGGCTGGATGAAGCAATGCCTTTCGGTGGGAGGCAAGGAAGTTCTAATTAAAGCCGTTGCTCAAGCCATCCCGACATACTCTATGTCTTGCTTCAAATTGCCAAGAGGTCTATGCAAGAATATCGATGGTGTTTTGTGTGACTTTTGGTGGGGAAGCAAGGAAGGCAAATGGAGGACCGGCTAGGTGTCTTGGGACAATATGTCGAAGCGTAAATGTATGGGAGGCCTAGGTTTCAGAAACATTGAACTCTTTAATCTAGCCTTACTCACACGTCAGGCTTGGCATTTGTTGTAGAGTCACTCAGTGCAAGAGTCCTAAAGGCCATATATTTTCCAACTGGTGATCTCTTAGATGCTGAGCAGGGTGCATCACCATCGAGGGTGTGGCGTGCAATGGTAGACGGCGTTCACGTCCTCCGCCAGGGTTTGATCCATCGGATCGGCTCCTAGGAATCATCAAGGACATGGAACATGCCGTGGATTCCAAGGGATGGCCTCATGCTACCTATGGGAACAACAAGGTCGGATTCACCACGGTTGATGTGCAAACTCATCGATTAGGCGTCTCAGAGCTGGGACAGGCAATTAGTGCGGGGTTCATTTAGCTCGTTGCATTGGTAATTTATTGAAAATATTCCTTTGAGTACTACTTCACAGGAGGATTATTGGGCCTGGCACTATGAGAAGACCGGGGTTTTTTCAGTTCGATCAGCCTATCGTCTGCTAGTGAGGAGCTGGGAGCCATTGGCAGCTTCTGTTGAGGTGCGACCGAGCCAATCTAATGTTAGTGCTGAGGAGAAAGAATGGACCGAGCTATGGAGTATTAAAGTACCATCGAAAGTTTGGGTATTTTTGTGGAGATTGGCTAGGATCTCCATCCCAACAGGGGACATGCAACACCATAGGAACATGGCACCAAATGAGCGCTGTGTTTTGTATGGTGCAGCCTACTCGTGGAGACATGCTTTATTGGAGTGCAATCTGGCTAGGAGTGTTTGAGCTCTTGAGAGGGAGAATATCAGTGAGTTCTTGAGCTAGGTGCTCTAGATGGATGCTCAAGCATGGCTAGCGGAAGTCATGAATTCACTAAAGCATGAAGAAGTCACAAGGTTGGTTGTCCGTCTATGGGTGGTGTGGTATGCGAGACATAAGGCGATCCATGAGAATCAGTTTCAGAGCCTGTTCTCGACACATAATTTTGTTGAATGCTTCATCGGTAACCTTGAGGAGATCAAACAAGGGAGCCCGGAGGTGAGCCCAGCAGCGGTGCATGTCCCGCGCTAGATAAGGCCCCCAGCGGTTTGGCAAAAATTAATGTGGATGCGGTGATGTCCAAGAACTCGGGCTAGGTAGCAACAACTATTGTGGCTCGCGATAAGAATGGCCACCTTTTTTTTTTGGGGGGGGGCATCAGCCCTATTGCTCGAAGGGTACAATGACGCGGAGGTGGTCAAAGAAATGGCTTCCCGTGAAGGGCTTGCTTTGGCTAGCGACCTTGGCATGTACTCGTTCTTCGTAGTGAGCGACTGTGCCAATGCGGTGAGGAGCTTCAAGGGTGAGGGGTTCGGCAGGTACGGAGCCTTCATCTGGGAGATCAATGCTAGGAGATGGAGCTTCACAAGAGCTGATTTTGTCTCTTTGAAGGGCAAAGATCGAATGTTGACGCCCATCTAGTTGCTAGAAGCTCTGTAAATTTATCGATAGGTAGACATGTTTGGTTTTTGAAGCCTCGTGATGGAGTTTGTAATTCTTATTCTGCTGATTGAATAAGTCAAAGCTCCCCTAAAAAAACTAGTAGTACGCTAATTCCCGACTCCCCGTGTCCCGTGATCATGCACGCTCCTGGGGTCCCATGACATGACCTTCCACCTTCGGCCTTCCTTCCTTCCTGCGCGTGTGGCTTGGGTGCGTGACGAGCCTGACGACGTTCTTGGCGGCGTCCCAGCAGAGCGGAGCAAGCAGCAAATCAGTGAATCACAAGTAGAGAGATCTAACACAGGGCCCTAGTCTCACCTCCCAGGTTCTCACGTGATCCCTGATCCCTATTTCGGAATTCCCTCATCCCTGATTCCCTATTCGGCTGTTCCAGCAGGCAGCAGAGAAAGGGCAGGCGCCAGGTGGCAGCACACCAAGGTAGGAATCTGAAATTTAGTAACTAATTGTTCCTCGCGTGATCCCTTCTTTATAAAATTGTAGTTACTAATTGTTTCTCTGAATTTTAACAGTACCATGTCATCAAGAAAGTATGCTTCTAGCAACTACAAAAGAAAGAAGAAAAAGCAAATAGATGATTTGATATAATCATAGATGGGCTCTTCATAAATTTCTTAAGAGTAATACAAGCACTTCAAGTGATCTAGATGCATTGGCGATAGTTGTTGTAGAGGAACCAGCTAATGCTAATCAGATCATTGAAAAGTAGATTTGAACAACTCTAGGAATTTAATGAAATATTTGGGTTTTTAATGAGTACAACAAACTTGAAGTCCTTAGATGGTCCTGAACTAAATTTGTGTTGCACAGCATTGGTAGTAGCTTTCTCTCTAAATGGCTCATCTGACATTGATTTAAATGATATAATTTCTGAGCTAAAGGTTCTGCAATCTGCTTTGCCAGATAGTCAAATGACAGCTATGGAGATTTTTTAGTTTGTTACAGAAAGTGATTGTCATCTGGAATAAAGATATGCAATCTGACATTGATTTACAGAAAGTGATTGTTACAAAATATTAACTTGTTTAATTTATTAACATCTGGAATTAAACGATCCAAATTCAAACTCAGGCTAGACACACACATTATTCAAACCATCGAACAATAAAGATATTCAACACTTTTCCTAAATAGTAAACAGCAACATCTAAAATGCCTAGACACCACAGAAGCTTGTCTTGGCTTGATTTGGACCATCCCATTACTCGTGCGCTCCACTCAAACTCTATGTTCATTCTGAAAAAAAGAACACTGACATTTGGCATAGACTTCAATTTTTTAGTACAGTGACATTACAAATCACATGTTCATAAGAATATGTAATTGTCATAGGAAAAATGAAGCTATAAATAAGGTAACACAAGAAAGTAGATCATGTGTATTGAACCAAATTGTGAAATCTAAACCTGAGCTTACAGATATGGATAACACAGTACGTACAGAATGTGCCAAATGATATCAAAAGGCGAGTATAAAATCTATTGACAGCATACAATTACTGATACTACGGTTTTAAATTTTTAAGTGCATCATGACAAGGAGTAAAAAAGACAGAACATTGCTTGATCAAAAGGATCATTTTTAGGTGATACTATGGTTTTGGAAGGATCACAGATCGGCAGTATAACTGAGGTGATCTATGACAACTAACAACCAAATGTTAATTCAGAGCAGAGCTTGTGCTTTCACCGAATTATATTCATTGTGTGGGAGTAGAGATTCAGATTAGCGGCGCATTCTGCAGTCATTGAGATTACCAATGAAGCTACACGGCAACACAATAGAGCCACTGTGAAGTGTCCTAGACACTACCCACTTTGACTGATCCTAGTAACTCACATGAAAAACAAACCCAAAGAACAGCAGGAAGCAATTGCAGATCGAGTCCTCACCGCTCAAGGATGCACTGGTGGTGGAACTCATACCTGCAGCTGGTCACCTAGCGGAGGCAGGAAGACGGTCAAGAAGCCGGAGCCGCTTCCACAAACAATACCTGCAACACAAATATCAAAATAAATATAAAATAAAAACAGCTTTCAGCACAAATCATCATTCTACAAGATCTGAAAAAAGGGTGTACCCAGTGCAGAGAGCACCCACTCTGTGCGGGCTACAAGATCTGAATCTGATTAAATATGCAGTTGGAACCACATGCTTTTACTCTCCATCAATCTCTCAAATTCTAAATGGGGACATGAAAAACTGGTGACAAGAAGCATATAACTGTGTACTTGCTATATTCATATTTGAGACTTTCAGAATTAAGAACCAAGCCTAACATGAATAAAGTGATCTAACAAATGCATCATGTAGCAGTCTGGCATTAGCAAACAATCTAATCTATATCTATGTTCTTTACAAGAGCACACATTATTTACTTCTGGAGAACAAAGCACACGTTGATTCCTAGAGAGGAGGATGGAGCACTAGTACTAGACTACACACATGCTGGAGCATATCTGAGTTGATTTCTCGAGAAGATAATGGAGCATTAGTACTAGTCCGTAAATGTTGGAGCATATAGCAATTGACAATTGACAAATGGCAGCTACTTAACATGTTATCAGATCAGTACAGAAGCACTTATTAACATCACATGAGTGCATAAATTCAGGATAGATCATGTCTAAATATCAGTGGTCATCATAGAACTACAAAATAAACCGAAGACAAATTAGTTCATATGCAAAAGCACCTGCTCAGTTTCTAAAAAGACTCAGTCACACTCACATGTCAAGTCACCGCAGCAAGATCGAATTTATATGACGTAACAAGCAAAAGCATAAGGCAAAGATCAGCCAACCCCACCTGCTAGCCATGCAAAACTGAAATTCAGCAGCTCAGTCTGTAACTGTAAGTGACTGGTCATCGTTCTCCCACTCCTCATCCCCCACAATTTAGCAGCTCAGACGACATCCTGCAACTGTAAATGCGCAAACTATAGACAGTGAGAAAGCAACAGCAGACAAAATTAGCCAGCAAGGCAACAATTTCACAACTGTAAATGGTTGAATGTATTTGTCAAATTGATAGTATGAGACTATGATTAATGTGGCAATTTGAGAAGGCGAAGATTGTAATTGCATCATTTTATTTATGTAAATTAAGTACGTCAACTTTGGTTAATTGCTCAGTATAGCAAAAGAATGTCAGTTAAGTATCTGAATTCTCAAAGCACTATCCTTTGTCACTTGTGTTGCGGCATGGAGCATGGGGAAGAAATTTAGTTCTGTATATATGCTTAGCTCTTTTGCCATCTTTTTTAATGGGAGAAATGAATAGCTTTCTATTGCATAAAGAGTGAATATAGCATGTCAATGTCGTCATATGCATTTAATTAAGTCCTACAGTTTCATTAGTTCAGGAAAAAAATAATTACCTTTCCCACTGTTAAGCCTATTTGCCAATAGGTTCTATCTATCTATGCCAGAATTGTTGGATGCAAACCCGCAGTACTACAGGTCATCAGGTAGAGGCATATTAGCTCCTACAACATTAGTAGGAAACACCAATATCTGCCAAGGTGAAAGGTTGAAACATTCAGTACTCTCATCACAAACTGAATTCAACATCCAGTCAAAATGTTCAGTGAACTCCAGATCACGCCATCACCTGCCCGGCTGCCCCTACATCTGAAGCCTGGCTTCTCAAGCTACTGTTCCTAGCCTCATACAAAAGACCAGAAGCACTGGTGCTCTCTCCGTATGGCGTAGTAGTTGCCCTCACTGATTGATCTTGAACAAGCAAATTTATTATCCTATCTAATCTATCAAACAAATATCAAGTCTCAGTTGACTAGAGCAGTACTATGTAATCTATCAAACAAATAGCAAGCCTCAATTGACTAGAGCAGTATACAATTTATCAAATAAAAATCGCTGAGGCTAACAATTTAATGAATTTGAAAGGAGACTAGCACATGTTAATTATGCAAAACCTAAGTCTAATGCCCACTAAGTGGGAGATGCAAAGATGAAGATTTGTCGTTCAGAAAGAGAAAAGGACGAATGGAAGGGCTCAGTGGATAACTCGTTGAGGACAAGGAACTGATCGATGTACCTCATCTAGAACCTGCATGGACCGAATTACACCCCAATTGGCAAAAAGTCAAGAAATGTCAATTCCTTCAGCTTCTCCAGGACATGCAGACTAAAGGCTCATCATCTGAAACGAAACCTACCTCCCGATGTTGCGGCAGATGACGGTGCAGACACCCTCGTGCTTCAGCCAAGCCGGCAACTTCCGCACCACCTGCCGGGGCTTCTCCATTGACAATATCGTCGCTGTGGCCAGTTGTGGAAGCTAGGGCTAGGGCGGCCACAACAGCACTGGCACCAACGCCGCGCACGCAAGCGCGCAAGGTCTACCGCCGCTCCTAAACCAAGGATCTCCGCGCCCGCGCCGGGGCTGCCACCGGGGATGCGCCTCTGTCTCGTGCCGAGGCCACCGCTGGGAGATGCATCCATGCCTGCGCCACCGAGGCCGTGCCTCCGCTCCTGTGTGTAGACATCCATGCCTACAGCCCAGAGCACCGCGGCAGGTGGTGGCCGGCAGGCGGCAGGTTGCTCGTGAGCCTGGCGGCGGCGGACTGGGGACGGGAGCACCAGGTGGATCTGAGGGGATTGGGGGAGATGGAGAGGTGTCATTTGTCGGGGAAGTGCACGTGGGGGATTAATAAAACGAGAAGGAAAAAGTCTACTCCACTCTTAAGTATTGGTGGTCTACATAACCCCTCAATTATGAAATGGTCTGATTTATTCCTAAACTTTCCAAAATAGTCTATTTTACCTCCCAGACGGTTTTCAGCGGCGGTTTGCTACACTAACATGGGTTTTCAGCGGCGGGTTTGCTTTAGTAAACGTTTTTTTCTAATTACATACAAAATTAGATTTTCTAATTAATATAAATCTACAGTAAAAGTTTTGTGCTAAAGTGTACCATATTATATGTTCACTATGTAGATCTACTCATGTGGAATCCAACAAAATTAGATTTTCTATTTTATGATTTTTCTATGATTTACTATGATTTTTCAAAGATTCAGTGGAAATAAGAAAAAAAGACAAAACCCCTGCACTGTAGCAAACCGCCGCTGAAAACCGCCTGAAGAGTAAAATAGACGGTTTTAGAAAGTTCAGGGGGTAAATCAGACCGTTTCATAGTTGAGGGGGTTATATAGACCATCCCCATAGTTGGGGTGGAGTAGACTTTTTCCAAAACGAGAAGAATTTGGATTTGACGGCCGCCGATTTAGCCGCCAAAATTTTTCGAAGATACTATGAAACAAAGTTATAACTAAATTTATCTTACATATATAAATATGTGAAATTAAGGTTATACTACACTTTTCAAGTAAAAAGGATAGATTTTATATTTTATTAATAATCACCTCATATTGATTTTCCTTGTAAAACCTTTGTTTGTGGTTTGTTATTAGAAAATGTAGTTTGATCTCGTATCAAAACTTATAATGTTCTAAAAAACTCAGTACATTGAGGAATATGCTTTGATACAATACAACTCTTCCAATAGTGCGGCATTGGGGTTGCACCGATTCAGTCTTTTAAGACATTGAGGAATATGCTTTGGCACAATACATTTTGCATGAGAACGAATTTGTATATGCCTTAAAACACATTTTGTATTCATGTATACACTTTCTTGTAACTTTAAGATCCTTTTATACACGACTTGTAGTTCCAATTTTTATTAATTCACAAGAAATTAAAATAAAAGGACGACTAATAGTGTAATAGCCATTTTAAAGAACTTGCTAGTGGCAAAAAAGGATGACTAGAAACATATGCTTTAAAATGAATATACCAAATGAAGAAAAGTATCACCACATTTAGATTTTCTTGATTTTTTTTGAATGTTATAAGGACATGGTTTGGTCCCCTCCAAAATTTGAATTACACCAATTGTAAACTTGTATACATGTTTTCTTTTTTAATCCCACAAGATAAACATAGTTCCCCATAAAAATACGTGCATACTCACTAGTATGAACACACGTATACAAATCCTACTACTATAAATATCTTAAAAAATTGAGCCAAAAAATCTCGAAACTAACAAAGTCATCATATGCACATCAATGCCAAAGGCTAGGAGCTGCACTATAGTCCGTGAGGCGTCGCGGAAACACCTGACGTTCTGCTCCTTCCATATATAGCTCACGAGCATAAATAGGGAGCGGCTCCCTTTCGTTTGTCGCTGCACCATCGCTGCCTCCATGATCTCCGTCAAAAGTTAGGATGGAACCCCCACCGACCTGCTTTTTTCTCACACATGTACTCCCTCCATTCCAAACTAAGTAGCTCTGGATTTTCCAAATAAATATCTTTTTTTATGTCTCGTGGTATACACTATATTTAGATACATACCTTTACTATGTATCTAGAAGAGCCAGAATGATTTAATATTCAAACAGAGGGAGTAGTTCAAATGTGAAGTAATTCCAATAACATGACATAAATACATTTTAATTCCTAAAAAAGGTACCTTATTGCCAAAATATTAAAGTTATTTAAAATATATTTGAAATAAAAGGTTTTATTATTTTCATATAGGAATGAGTGTTGTCGGGTTCATAAACCCGGGGTCCCTCATAGACCTGCTTCCTAGCAATGCTCGGCCTAGCAGACGGCGTTGTGAACGACGCGCAACTCCTGTGCTGGCCCAAAAACCTAACGACAGGTCAGAAGGGCGATCCAATCTCTGACCGGAAGGCCTAGCCAAGGAGGAACGGCGCCCGCTTCCGACTCTGGCCCGCCTCTCCGACCGGAAAGCCTCGCTTCCGACTCCGGCCCGCCTCTCCGACCAGAAGGCCTGGCCAACAACGCTTCCGACTCCGACCCACGTATCCGACCGGGGATACACCGAACCTCTGCTTACAGCTCTTCTCCGACTGGCGTAGTCGGAGCCGACTGGGACCAACCGACCGAGGACGCCCGCTCTGTGAGGACCAGGAAACCATCGGAGCAAGTAAAACAGAATGCTCAAGTCAACCGCAAAATCACGGACCGTACCCTGTACACCTGCAGGACAGTATCGACAGGACATGTCAGAAGGGTGCCCTGCAACCTTTCAGGTATGTCAGAACCCAAGCAGTGTTGTGGGCGCCGATGATTTGCACTACAGTGTTGTGGGCGCCATCAATTCCCATACCATGCGAACACGGTAAAACTCCCCACATGCCTCTGGGCATCGACAGTGTTGTGGGCGCCTACCATCATTTTGTACCCGACGACGTGGGCAACAAGACTTAGTAGCATACGTACTCTCACTCTCTCTCTCTCACTTGTAAAGGCCGTCCCCTTCATCTATAAAAGGGGATGCGCTCTCTTTCAACAGGGAGATCAATCGGACGACAACTGAAACACGCTCCAACGATCCGAACGACCAAGGATTCCAACGAACAACCGATGTTCTAACACTTAGCACATAGCGGAGCTCCCATCACTCTTGGCCCTTCAGACCAGAGTCCGATCGGACCTCTTGCACCCCCATCTTACTCCCTTCCGTTTATAATAACACGGGCATGGTAGATGCCTGCGACACCTGCTCAGGTTGAATGCTACTTCCAGAGTTGTCCATCTCAAATTATCAGAACTACATCAAAATGTACAAGCTTATCTTATTTTTCTTGTATGTACAAGCATATCTTTTTTTCCTTTTCTTAAATTATTTCACTTATTTTTTCCCTTATTCTCTCACTACCCTCCACCGCGTGTAGCCATCCCACTTTTATTGTTTTTTCACGGTGTTTTTTTCTCTGCAAAGGGGTGTTCGATGCTCGGACGCACTAACGGATCGTACCCAGATGAGCTATATATTGCTGCCAAGACAAAAATGACGAGCATGCAGTCGTCTGAGCCTTCTTTCCACTTTTTTCTGTTTTAGTGTATTACTGTACTCTTTGGCTTCTTCTCTCCCTCTTCTGTTTTGGTTACTTGTTCAGTTGTTCTTGTTGAAAAACTGCATAAAAGAATTTCTCCATGGCCACGGTGTCATCGGGGTCGGGACAAGGCTTACGGCTGGGTGATTGCATTTCAGTTCATGGTTAGTTAGAATTTGATTTTGTATTGACTTCCTGGGTTTCTTCAGCTTTACATGTGCGTTTTTCATCTTTAAATGTTTTTCCTTGATTGATTTATTCGGCTTGAGTCTGGCAAAGAACTATCAAGAGGTTTTTTACCCGTATCGATTTGCCTTCGTTCTTTTTCGTGTTGCTCATCGTTTCGAGATTGCGCTTAATTGTGTATGCTGCCTTATGTCAGTGGACTTGCGAGAGGCTAGCTCACACATGATGCGCACAGGGACGATGTGTTTTTTTCGTTCTTTTGATTTCTAGATCCCGTTTTATGCAACTTGGTGATATCAAATTCCTCAGCTTGGTGTTGGTCGCTCGTCCCTTGGTGATCAAGATCCGTGCCTCTTCAATTCCTTCGTGGCATGCTGGGACATGTGGTTTTATCTTTCATCTTATGGCCTTTGGCGGAGGGATCGTCTCTCATTTTAGGGTATATACCATGATGTGCCAAGGGCTAACCTACAGATTGGGAGTCGGGTGTCGATCATTCACCTTTGCATTCTCTTATCTCTTTTTTGTCTGTTTTGGAATTTTAGGATATATTTGGGCTTTAGAATGGGAGACATAATTGTTTTTGATTTACTCGGTCATGCCCTGAATATATTTTCTAAGATGCCTCTGTGTTGTGTTCTAATCTTATTCTTGCCGAAATATGTTCGTATTTTTTTCTTTTGCTACAGTCATTGTCATTCTCACTACTACCAACAATCTCCTAATATAGGGCCTTCGACTTTGTGGGGACACACTCATTAAGGGTGTGGTGAGTTGCAGCAAGTTCTACACCACTTGGAAGAATGCGTTCATCGTGGTGGAGGCCCTAGATCTTCTGCGCCGGCTCGTGTCCAGCACTCTCGAGGCCCCGCTCCATGCTAGGCGATATCTTGTGCTGGTGGAGAGGGACGTCAGGTCCATGCTAGGCGATGCCAACTAGTTGGTTCACCAAATCTACTCCATGTGGTGGACCCAGTATTTGTAATTGGAATCAAAACTCTACAAAGGTTTTAAACTTGAAACTTGGAATCAAAATTAGTAGAGAAATAGATTAACAATTGTTGGAACTTGGGTTCTCAACAGGTTAGGGAGCGAGTAGAGAGGAGAGAGATGATAGCTAGGGTTTGCAAATGAGTGGGAGGAGGGAGAGAGACCCCTTGCCCCCTTGCTCTTTGCACTATAT